CTGGCAGGCTCCCATCCCCCACCAGACCTGGGGGTCGCAGGTGCCACGCCCGCGGGTGGACCAGAAGGTGGGGGGTCCTGTGGATGAGCCGGAACGTGTGTGACCCGCCCGCGCGGGCGCCCGGCCACGCCCACTGCAAACCTGCGTTCCCCGAGGTGGAAGTGGAGCCTCTGCCTTCCCCGGTGGCCGGCGTCCTCTGGCTACTTGGTCCAGAAGCTTATACTAAGGGTCACTTTTGAAGATGTTGGATGACCTCGATCTTATGTGCAGAAATGATCCTTTTTCTTGTTTCTCCTTCCTCATTGCAAACATGTTCTTTTCCTAGAGCCCAGGGGGCAAATCGAGTCGGGGTGGAGAAGGGCTAAAATGCAGACCTCGGCCTCAGGCACAGCCCCCAGGGCAGCGCGCGAGGGGCTGCATGGTGGGCGAAGGGGCTGAGGTACTCGGCCGGGATGGGCGGGAGCCAGGGGCCACCGCTGGCCGGGCAGCAGCCGTGGGTGGGCTGCGGATGGAGCCTCATGTGCTTTCAATTTGGGGAACAGAAATGCCCGCGAAGGCCGTAAATACACGTGGCCTTGACCCCTGGCGCAGCGTAGGAGTCTCTGGACACCCTTCATGGAAACAGAGTTTGTTTAAGAGATCTCGAGGGAGGAACGGGTTGACCTGGTTCCCAACCAGCGATTATCAGCCTGCAGGGGGGTCCCGGGCCTGGTGAGAAGGAGGGCCGTGGGGTCCCGCCCCCTCCTGGGCCTCCGCCAGCACTTTTCCAACTTCTGTGTTTACTGGACTCACTTAGGTGGAGGGTTGTTAGTGGGGGTTTTTGTTGTTTAATGTGTTTTTTAAAATATGTTTTTTATTGCCCTGACTGGTGTGGCTCAGTGGATAGAGCATCGGCCTGCGGACTGAAGGGTCCCAGGTTCGATTCCGGTCAAGGGCATGTACCTTGGTTGCGGTCACATCCCCAGTAGGGAGTGTGCAGGAAGCAGCGGATCGATGTTTCTCTCTCATTGATGTTTCTAACTCTCTATCCTTCTCCCTTCCTCTCTGTAAAATATCAATAAAATATATATTTTTAAAAATGTTTTTATTGATTTTTAGAGAGAGAGAAAGGGGAGAGAGAGATAGAAACATCAATGATAAGAGAGAATCATGGATCAGCTGCCTCCTGCACGCCCCCAGTGGGTATCGAGCCCACAACCCCAGCCTGTGCCCTGACCAGTGCAGGGGACAATGCTCTAACCACTGAGCGCAGGATTAGGTTTCGATTCTGCCCCCTTCAAGTCCAGGACCAAATCTCTGCCTCTGGAAGGGCCGTGGCCCCTGCGACAAATGCAAACCACCTTCCGGGCCTCAGAAGGGACAGCCAAGCCTCACTCTGGACACTGAGCACGGTCAGCGTTTCCCAGGGAACCGGCTCGCACTGTTAACCTGCAGAATCACCTCATCTATTATGAGGGTGGTATGATGCGCTTTTAATTCTATTATTTTGAGATGTTTGTGGAATCGTGTCAGGAGATGATTTAGCCTCTAGGAGGGGAAAATCTTGTACGTCAGAGACATGTTCTCAGTTCAATGGTCAGTGTCACTCAACATGGATTTCCAATCAGATTTGGAGTCACCACTGGCCAAGGAAAATACTGATCTCTAGATAAGCAAGAGGTTTTCAATCGAAACCCTTGGTGGAGTAAGCAAGTTGTGCATAAAAGATTCGAGTTTGAGAGAGAGAGAGACTACCTCTGTCTCCATTTATGTGAAACGTGTAAAACACTCCCAGGGACTCCTCAAACAAGGAGTGTTCCTATATGAACACAAATGTGTATGTCTCCATGTTATTGGTATTATTTAACAAATACAAAAAGAAATACTAAAAATAAATAAAAATAAAATAACAAAAGAAATAGTACGTCCTCACAGAGCCTCGGGGACTGAGCACCCACATCGACGCAGGTAACCTCATCGTGAAGCGCTTGTTGAATGAATTTATCCTGATAATTCACCCCAGACCTCACCTGATGGCCTGTGACCCAAGACAGCTATGCAGGGCCAGGGCATTTCTCGTGAACGACACTAAGAAATAAACTAACAAAAAAGCACCAAATGCATCTGAGATTGATTTGTTGACCCCCAGTGGGCACTGAGGTCTCCCTACAACCTCTGCTACAGGCTCACTCACTTCACTCACTCCAGGCAGACAACCCCGGAGCCGGGGCCTGCGTGTGCTGGCAGGCTCCCATCCCCCACCAGACCTGGGGGTCGCAGGTGCCACGCCCGCGGGTGGACCAGAAGGTGGGGGGTCCTGTGGATGAGCCGGAACGTGTGTGACCCGCCCGCGCGGGCGCCCGGCCACGCCCACTGCAAACCTGCGTTCCCCGAGGTGGAAGTGGAGCCTCTGCCTTCCCCGGTGGCCGGCGTCCTCTGGCTACTTGGTCCAGAAGCTTATACTAAGGGTCACTTTTGAAGATGTTGGATGACCTCGATCTTATGTGCAGAAATGATCCTTTTTCTTGTTTCTCCTTCCTCATTGCAAACATGTTCTTTTCCTAGAGCCCAGGGGGCAAATCGAGTCGGGGTGGAGAAGGGCTAAAATGCAGACCTCGGCCTCAGGCACAGCCCCCAGGGCAGCGCGCGAGGGGCTGCATG